CCCCAAAACCCCAAAACCCCAAAACCCCAAAACCCCATTCATGAAAATAGTAGTTGAGATTTAAAAAAGTTTATTAAAATGGATAATAGACACTATTTTGTTGCCTTCCTAGCTGTGCTAGGTATGCTAGCATTCTTTGCCCTCATTACAATGCCATTTTGGATTCCAGTCTTGTTGTTCAATTCCCCCTTCCTTTTAGTGGTATTCTTGCTTGCAAAATACACAAGATTTGGAGGAATTTTGGAGAAATGGTATCTTACAGTGTATGATTGGCTTGTATATCAATCAGAAACACCAAGAAGGCTTCTTTGGCAAGGTTTTTACGAATTCATGAGCTGGTACAATCAAGATACTGATTGGGTTACGATGAACTATGGATATGCTCTTTTGACAGATGATGGACATATGATTGATAAGTTACTGACAGAAGAGCAGGATAAGCACGAGTGCTTCTCTCTCCAGCTCTATTACTTCATCACCGGAACTAACAAAGCGTTTAAATCCCTTGAGGGAAAAACACTTGTAGAAATTGGTTCAGGAAGAGGAGGAGGGATATCATTTTTAACTAGAGTTTTTAAACCAGAAAAGGCCATTGGAATTGACTTCTCAATGAACCAGGTGGAATTTTGTAAAGCAAGACATTCAAGTGTCAACCAGCTGGAATTCCACCAAGGCGATGCTGAGTCATTCACAACTATTGAATCAATTGGAGAAAACTCTGTTGATGCCATTATTAATGTAGAGTCTTCACATTGATACGGAAATATTGACAACTTTTTCAAGCAAGTCAACAATGCTCTTAAGAAGGATGGAGTCTTTTGTTATACTGATTTCAGAGGAGCTGAAGATATGGATGAACTCAAAGCTAAAGTAGAAGAGTATTTCGTAGTAGAAAAGTCCATTGATATTACTAGGAATGTTTGCTATGCTCTGAAACTTGACACTCAAAGAAGACTAGCAGTGATCGAGGAAAAATGTCCCAAAATATTTGTCCCATTGATCAACAAGTTCTCAGGAGTCACTGGAAGTAGAGTTTATGAAGAGCTTAATGAGGGACAGACTCTGTATCATGCTTGGCTCTTGAAACCAAAAGGAAGAAATGCTAATGAAGAAGTCAAGGAGTAAGCATTTTAGGATTAACAAGTGTATTGACATCTTAAGTCAATTATATAAGAATTACGTGGGGTTTTGGGGTTTTGGGGTTTTGGGGTTTTGGGGTTTTGGGG